ACTCCTTGTTTAGCTAGAAGGTCTGCCAGCCCATTTGCCGATCTTCTTTCCCATTGAACTGTGACTGAAATATTTGAAGTCAGCCACTTAAATCTTCTCAAAGCCCCCCTGTACGGCYAGGCTGCCGTCTCTGGTTCTTTTAGCCATCCAATAACCAATTTGGAATCACCTTCAATCATTAAATGCTCCATTGCCAACTCTCTTGCATATTCTGCTCCTTGTAACACTGCTTGGAGTTCTGCATTTACAGAGTCTCCCCACCCTATAGGACCAGAAAATAGAGCTACAATCTGACCCTCATCATTTCGGAAGACCCCCTATTCCAGATGGCCCCGGGTTGCCCAAACTACTGCCATCAAAATTTAGTTTAATGACGCCTGCATCAGGAGGCTTCTAATCCACCACTGGCTTGCTGCTGATTGCAGAACTTTTAGCTAGTTGTTCCCAATTTCTCCTTATGTCATCGAAAGTGTAGGTGGAAAACAAATCCAAGGATTTTGCCCAACTTATGGCCCTACAAAAGATACTTTCTAACACACATGTTTGATCCCTCTCCTTGTCATTAAAGATTCTAGCATTTCATTCCTCCCACATAGTCCACACTAAAGCAACTCTAACACACCTCCACAAAACTCTTCCTCTTCTCTTTGGCCACCTGAAAGTTGTAGGATCAAAAAGATTGCAAATCTGCACCAGTTCTATCCACCTGCACCCGAAAAGATCAAAAAGCTTTTCCCAAAGGCCTACAACAAAAGGGCAAGTGATTAGTATATGGTAGYAACTTTCCTCGTTAGCTTTGCATAGGGTGCACCAGTTAGGAGAGATACAAAGACTAGGTCTTCTTTTTTGTAAAACATCCAAAGTGTTGATTTTCCTGAGGGAGACTTCCCAACAAAGGGCTCCAACTTTAGGAGGGACAGGTTTGGACCAAACTTCCTTGTTATGAAAAGGTTGACTCAATGGAGAGGAGCACAAGGAAGCAAAGAAGGAGGCACAAGAAAAGGAACCTGAAGGTAATGGCTTCCAAATACGGGAGTCTACAGAAGGAGGGTCCAAGCAAACATAATCAATAGTTTTGAGGAGCAAAGCAGCCTGGTCAAGCTCAGAATCTCTCAAACCTCTTCTAAAACCCAGATTCCAGTTTACGCCAGAAGAAATGGATGATGATACAAACTTTTGAATTGGCTCATTTTTAAAACACGAGATGGAATACAAGGAGGGAAAGATGTCCTTGAGGATACAATCACCAATCCAAACATCCTCCCAAAACAAAACCCTATCTCCAGTACTAACATCATACCTGATCAGGTTCAGGAAAACGGGAAGAATACTATGAATAGCCTTCCATGGGGATTTCAGCGTAGCACGCCGAGATACACCAACATCCCATTCATTGTTTGCAACACCATGCACACTTCTTACCACTTTATGCCAAAGTCTCTCCCTTTCTAGAGGCCACCTCTATTTGCTGGAATGAAGCTGCTGAAGGAGAAGAGAAGAAGAAGAAGAAGAAGAGTTGAGAATGGTGGCTAATAACCTCTCAGCCGGCCCTACTCTATTATTAATAAGTGTATTACATAATATTATACAAATAGACTAGAATGCCCCTGATTAGTGATGGGACACCTAGACAAATAAAAAAAAACACTAAATAAGATTAGGCCCAATAACAGAAGACTAAAGACCCAACAAAGATAAATAAACATATTAAGACAGCCGAACCAACACTCCCCCTTAAACTAAGCATGGATGTCAATCATGTTTAGCTTGCCAAGTAAGTCCAAGAATTTTACTGTATCTAGCCCTTTAGTTAAAACATCTGCGATCTGCATCTCGGAGGGAGTATAAGGAATGCATAGTTCTCCTGAGACTATTCTTTCTCTGACAAAGTGGCGGTCTATCTCAATATGTTTCGTTCTATCATGTTGCACTGCGTTTTTTGCTATGTTGATGGCAGCCTT